CAACTCATTCGCAGAATATTCTTGATTCTCAAGAATCGGATGACGCGGAAGAGATCGGAGAGAAGACAATTGAAAAACGGGTCGAAAATATTGAACAATTACTACAAACCCTTATCAGTGAAAAGCAATCAGTAAACAAACAACATGTGAAACGGAGGGCCAATCACCAGAACAGACCCAACACCTCATATGTTGACAAAAAGTGTTGGACTTGTGGTAAAACAGGACACCTCTCATACAAATGTTACCACAATATAAGGCATGAGAATCGGAGACCAAATCACAGGCAACACAATCATCACTTCAGGAAAAAAAGTGGTTTTTCTCCAGATAATGGCCGAAGATATGGCAGAAATCACCAAAATATTGTAAGCCGTGTTTTTGCCTGTCATTGTACTTCATCGCCAATTCTGGCACTAAAATACAATGACTGTGCGTTTGTAATGATAGATGAGAGATATGTTCACATATCTCTCATCAGAATACCAGTAGCGCTCGAAAGGCACTGTTTGTTGTATTGTTTTTTCTCTTCATTCAATAAATGTTTTAGCATTAAATATGTGTTTTATTAATTGTGAAAATGTATGTATGTCTGTCCAGTGCGAGTGTATGGTTTTAAGGGTATTCTCCAGAATGACCCCTCCGGGGGTGTATAAACCCAATTTTGGCGGGCTTACAATATTATAATAATCTTGGCAAACACATTTTTTAATAGTCAAATCGCAAATACTACAAGCAGTGTTAACAATGCAATGAATGTCACTAGTACAATCTACAGGGACGCACCTTTTTCCGTCCAATGCGATTTTGTAGTTAAATGCGCACGTGCATATAGGACCCATGCCTTTGCCCGTGTATTCTTTGCATTTACATCCATGTTGATCACAATCTATACTTAGTTCCACATCCCAACGGCAAACAGAATTTTCAAATATTGATAAACAGCCTGAATCGCTATTGCAATAAACTTTATCATTGTTATCATCAATGAAGTAATTTTTAGTAATACTTGTATAATTAATTTTGTAATTTTTATCAAAAGCATTGGACTTTACGGAAATCACTATAATACTAAGATATAACACGATGTATAATTTATTAATCATATTATATAAATTTAAAACTGTTTAATTATAAAAACTTGTGAGATGTTACTATATATTAACAAACGATACTAATATAAATTTTTTAATGATACGAATTTAATATGCACTATTTATATTATATTCTAATGTTTTGTCAATTGCTAATACATTATGATAATTACCTTGCCAATTGATAGTGAAATAATTTATATTAGAGTGGTCGTTATGTATTTATATAGATTATTGGATTAGCACTGCGTATAGACATAGACTAACCTCTGTTATTTCTGTCATTGACTCAGCATTATTCATGTTAATCTGATGTCATAAACTCAAGCTGTAATACCATGTTAAATCCTTTAGGGTAAGGTGAAAGGGGAAGGGGTAGACGAACGATCCTATAACTCGTGTTATTCATAGGTTGATTGTGACAACACTTTTATTCCCGTCACCCGGACCCGTCGGGTCTGGGTCACCCGTCGACGGGTCAAATTGTTATTTTATGTAGAATTAGACATTGAGTTCAAACAAGAAATCTGTTTTTGTTTATATCGAATAATTTTTGCGTTTTCGACTTAGAAATATTTTTGTAAAAATTTTAAATTGATCAATTTATTAATATGATATATGAATTAAATGTGGAATTTGACTCCGACCTCGAATTTAAAATTCAAAATATGCTATCACGAAAATTTTTCGTATTTATTAGATTTTAATATGCTAAACCCATAACATTGCGAAATGACCTAAAAATTTTTATAATTTAATCACGTGATTTTAATATTTTTAACCACAATTCAGTATGAATAATATGGTTTATAGGATCGTTCGGCCACCCACCCCCCCGCAATGATACGTCTATGGGATTAGTATTAAAACCATAAATTTAATCTTACAATTGTTAGATGTCATGACACCCAGAGCTTGGACTCAGACGACCAGCTCTTTGGTTGGGAGGCATGCGTTCACGCAGAGGAGCCCCGAAGGCATATCCATAGCTTCACCGGCAAAGTCACCGTAGGGTTAGGTAAAGGGTTTTTATATAAATTTATAATAATTAGCTACTTTTATTTATAAATAAAATTTTGATCTTATAATATAAATTTATTGAGTCTCTGTTAGCCACCATTGCAAATATTAACTATCATAAAAGCAACATTATAATACTGGATAATTACTAAATTACAGTATATAACATAGTATTAACAAATGAACACAGTTTTACCACTTTTATTGATATAAATAAAACAATAATGACAATTGCAGAACTTATTATTTATTTATAGACAATGTTTAACCGAATCCATTAAACATGTTAACTTACAAAATTGTAGTTTTAAAATACTTCTTACTTATAAAATGACAGCTTTTTAATTTAACATGTATATTTAATTATTTTTGTATTGTTGCAATTATATTTTTATGCAAACTTGTTTACAAATTATGTAAATTAAAATATTCAATAATTATTTAATTTAATTAATTAATTAATATATTGTAACAAGATTTTTGTAAATATTAATTTTGACATTCAAAAAATATTAGTAATAATAATTTGTAAGAAATAAAAATAACTTTTTGTTTAATTATGCAAGAAAATCTTGCTAGTATATTATTATACTTATGATATCCATTTGTTCATAACTATCATAACACCAATCAATATCATGTTAATAATAGCGCGGCAACTATTACAATGTTTTAGGCCAGGTGTATATTGATGGTCGTTACAATAATTAACATTGTAAAAATCTTTCACCCGATCCAATTTAGTTTTCATTGTGTCATAGTTTTCAGTATTTGTCCTGCATTTGTCCTATCGAATTAAAAATATTTGATCATAATCAAATTATATAAAATTATTAAATTGTCAGCTTGGTATCTCATTAATAAAATCTCAAATTTTTATACAAGATTTTTAAATTATGCCCAAAATTCAAGTTTATAAATATTACCTTGCCATATTTAACGGTGCAATCATATGCCACAGATAGAGCGCAACAGGCCTTTCCAATAATTTCCTCAAGGTGGTTTAAATCAATATTTCTATAATCAAAATCTACAACCTCCTTTACACAATTTTCTACATCTGGTGAAATTTTTATATAACAATTATCTTGGTACAAATCAATTGAAGGGTCAATATCGCCAACCAATCCACTGCCACCCTTGCATTGTTTTTGATCTTTCACATATTTGTGATCTTTGCACATGCCTGTATTAAACGTATAATTGTATTTTTCGAGATTATCGTTAAACATATCGTGGTCGCACTCATTCTGTAATAATAATCATTATTTTGCTAGCATATTATTAAATATATTTAAAACATTTATAAACGTAATATTATGTATTATATTTAATGCTATGTTGTAATAACTATCTACCATAATCAGTGATAATCACCATAGTTAAACATTAATCAATTAAAAAGTGAGCCTTTGTGAACAATTTTTATAGTTAATATTAAACATACAAATATTATAAATAAGCATAATTGTAATAAAAATGGTTTGGTATAATAAATTGTTTAAATAAAGTATTTAAAAATAAATTACCTTGCTATATTTATCCCTACAACCATTGAATACTGATAGAGCACAGCACCGGCGCTCCACATTCCATATGCCGTAAGTATTGTCATTTGTCTCATCAAACTCTGGGACCACAAGTCGAGTGCATTCAACAGTTTTATTATTGATCCGATCGACACAATCTTCACTCGAGTCACCCAACACTTGCACATTATATGTCTGTAGACATATGAATAATATACAAATTAACAAATGGAGCTTGTCCATAATGATTATTTATATTTAATAATGTAGCAGTAATAAACTTTATATAAATAAGGGAATTGTTAATGGTTGTAATATTTTGTCTTAATGCTAAAATAAAAATTGGTGTAGTTATATTTATAGTATAAATTTTATACATATTCACCAATCAATAGAATTTATCATATTAATATGAATGTTATTCACCATGTAACTAATGGTTAATCCATTAAACGCTGATATCAACAAAATCACACAAGCACACAAAGACACTGGGGTTAAACTTAAAATAATGGTTCACATGTTAATTGTAATTTTATACTTTATTTAATATTTCTAAATAAAGTGTATAATGTGCATGTAGTAAAATAATTTGTCACTAGAAAACAATTATAGTTAAAACAACTAGTATTATGCAATTAGCATAAATAATTCAAAATAAAACTGCTCTACCTTGATCATTGATAAATATCTATTGCCGAGATAGTATCGAGTTGATTATTAGAAGTTTTTCACATTTTCACAGCACCAAATATGCTCAATATTGTGAATATTAACTGTAAAACAGAATTAAAATGTCAAATTGGATTAGTTGTATATCATTTACATTTAATATTATTAATTTTGCTATACATAAAGTGGTTTACAAATGGTTTCATCATATTTTGTTATCAAAAAACATAATACACTCACAATTGTTTATCTTCACAATATTCATAAATAAATTGAGAATGAATTTAACATTTTTAGTATAATGCTAAAAATAAAGCATATCTTTAGTTTAATATTTTTAGAAATCTATTCTTTTTATTTATGAAAGCCATTTACCCATTGCTAGTAAAACAAAAACTATGTTAACAATAGCGACACAACTATTACAATGTTTTAGATTAGCTTCGTATGGATAATTTTTGCATAAACTAACATTATAATAATCTCTTGCTTTATCCAATAAAGTTTTCATTATTTAATTCATTGTCTCAATATTTTAGTTTGACCGGTGTATCTATCTTTTCCTAGTAAATAAAATGTATAACAATATCTAATTAACATTTACAATTATTAAGGAGAAAATAAGTAATGCAATTTTGTTGACAAAATTAAGTTAAAATAATTAACAAATGCCAATAAAACCTACCCTGCTTTGATCAATGATAAATATTAATTGTCAAAACAATACTAATGAGATAATGAGAAGTGTTTTACATTTTCACAGCATAAAGCGGGGATTAAATATTAAATTTGAATGTAATGCATTTAAATGTAAATATTAATAGATAAAGCACAATTAAAATGTCAAATTTAATTGTATACCATGTACATATAATTTTGTTATAAACTGGTTCACAAATAATTTAATCATATTTTTATCTCAAAATATGATAAACTCATAATGGTATATTTTCACAGTATTTAAGAATAAATTAAATATTAATTTGATATACTAAAATTAAACATTTATCATTTAACTTGCACTTAAATCAAATAATAAGTTATTTGTTATTTTAAAACAATATAATTTAAGACATTATTATAAATTAAACATGAATTAACATCAATTTCAGCATATTATAAATCACAGCTATCTTAGATACAATATATCAATATATTTCAATATTTCGATCTTGTATATTTCAATGTTATTCAATAAAATGCAATAGATTTACCATTACAATATGATTTACATTGTATTAGGTGTTACTGTAAGAGTAGTGCCTTAAATCTATTTAATAACAATTATAGATTATAATTATAGAAATCATTTCAAAATAATAATGAGCACTTAAACAATAATATGAATA